ATAATTTGTTTCAAACGGTATGGTACTGACACAAAAACAGACACATAGGTCAATAGAACAGAATAGAAAGCCCAGAAATAAACCCACAACTATATGGTCAATTACTCTTTGAAAAAGGAGGGAAGAATATATAATGGGAAAAAGGCAATCTCTTCAATAAATGGTGCTGGGAAAACTAGACAGCTACATACGAAAGAATGGAACTGGACCACTTTCTTACACCATACACAAAAATAAACTCAAAATGGATTAAGGACCTAAATGTGAGACCCGAAAACACAAAAATCCTAGAAGAGAGCACAGTCAGTAATTTCTCCCACATCAGCTGTAATAACATTTTTGGATAGGTCTCCTGAGGCAAGGGAAATAAAAGCAAAAATAAACTACTGGGATTACATCAAAGCAAAAAACTTCTGCAGTGCAAAAGACAACAACCAACAAAACTAAAGGACAACCTACTGAATGGGAGCAGATATTTGCTAATGACATATCTGATAAAGGGTTAGTATCCAAACTATATAAAGAACTGATGCAACCCAACACCCAAAAAACAAATAATCCAATTAAAAAATGGACAGAAGACATGGACAGACATATCTCCAAAAAAAGACATACAAATGGCCAACAGACAAGTGAAAAGATGCTCAATATCACTCATCATCAGGGAAATAAGTGCAAATCAAAACCACAATGGGATATCACCTCACCCCTGTCAGAATGACTAAAATAAAACATACAAGAAAGAATAGCTGTTGCTGAGGATGTGGAGAAAAGGAACCCTCATGCACTGTTGGTGGGAATGCAACGTGGTGCAGCCACTGTGGAAGGGTATGGAGATTCCTCAAATAATTAAAAATAGAACTACCCTATGATCCAGGAATTGCACTACTGGGTATTTACCCCCCAAAATACAAAAACACTAATTTGAAAGAATATATACACCCCCCCTATGTTTATTGCAGCATTATTTACAATAGCCAAACTACAGAAGCAGCCCAAGTGTCCATCAATAGATGAATGGATAAAGAAGTTGTGGTATATATATACACAATGGAATATTACTAAACCATAAGAAAGAATGAAATCTTGACATTGGCAACAACATGGATGGAGTTAGTACAATGCTAAATGAAATAAGTCAGCCAGAGAAAGACAAATACCATATGATTTCACTCATATGTGGAGTTTAAGAATCAAAACAAACAAACAAAGGGAAAAAAAAGAGAGAGACAAACCAAAAAACAGACTCTTATTAACTGTAGAGAACAAACTGATGGTTACCAGAGGGGAGATGGGAGGGGGGATAAAATATATTTTACTGGAATTAAAATAAAAAACTTAATAAAACAACAAAAAGGAAAATTAATTTCTTTGAAGATGGGCTCAAATTATGGAGCACTACTGATATGTTACTCTTTTTTTTTAAGATCTTATTTATTTATTTGACAGAGAAATAGAGAGCACACAAGCAGGCAGAGGGAGAAGGAGAAGCAGGCTTCCCGCTGAGCAGGGAGCCCGACGCGGGGCTCAATCCCAGGACCCCGGGATCATGACCTGAGCCGAAGGCAGACACTTAACCACTGAGCCACCTAGGTGCCCCCGATATGGCACAGCTTGAGGGATAGTTTAGTTCTACTCTTAACTGAATAGTATTTGTTTAAAATTGATGGTAGACATCGCTATTCTCAAAGTTAATGAAGTCCCAAAGTCTTAGAATTTCAAGAAAAGAATACTGTAGTAGTAAGCATATTTTACAACCAGAAAAGCATTTGTTGACCAATTCTTTAATTTTTACACTTAGTGCTTTTTTCATTAAGAAGTGTCAAACTTATCATCTTTATTGAATTTTATGTTAGTCTCATTTGCAGCATCTATACTCTGAAAACAGTAAAGTAAGAGTAACCACAAAGTACTGAGACTTTTGTTAGGTTTATAAAGACAGTCTCATTACTCTACAGTCACAGAAGAGTTTAACTCTTCATTTCATGGCATATATTCTCTGCATATACACAATATGGCCTATTTTAGGATGCTAGATAGTTTTTACTCTATTACCTTTAGGTTTTTTAAAGAAAGCATAGACATTATGAACACTTTTAATGGTTGACGGTCAAAACAAATCTTTATCTGAGTTCTATATTTTACAATCCTATGCTTCATTATTAGCTTCATCAGTTCAAAAAATACAAACATATCCCATGAAAAAGTGAGTCTCCAAAGGATAGATAACTAGAGTATTTTAAGATAAACAGAATCTATCGGCATTACACAAGGCTATAAAGATGCACTCCTCAAGGTGGCAAATGAATCAAGACTAGTACTGGTTTCAAATACAAAATGACAGAGAAGTTACAAATGGAAATTGATATAATTCCTCACTTTTGAGAGGAGTCAAATGTCAAAAAGGAACACAGAGATCTCAAAAACCAGGATGATATATAGAAAAATGGTAGAAGGGGTGAACATAAAGATAAAAGCTGCTGTGCACTCTTAACATGATGAGTTTACATGATTAATTCAAGACTTAAAAAAGAGGTCTGAGAACTTCATCATCACTGGAATATAATTTTGAACTGAAACAAATAAAATTCCAGACATGTCACTAGGAAGAAAACATGACGCTGCTCTCAGGTGAACCATATGCTTGAGTCTGGAATACTGCTGAGTGTTCATGTATACCCTATAAGTTACCAAATCACTAGTAAAATAGTGGTATATTGATAAGACACAGGATAAAAGAGATAAGAAGATTACAGTCTGAGGAAGAGATTCAAAGTTCCACTAATACATTTTAGGACTTGATGTAGTAAAACATTTAAAATTACATGCAAAAATATTAAATTCTGAGGACCTGGAAAGTCCATCGACTATTCTGAGAGTTAGGTCATTTCAGGGAAAGGGACTTCAATGCATATTGGATTGAGTAATGTTTAGAAAACCTTGCTCACATAAGTCGGCAATAAAAAAATGTCCACCCCACTGCTTGCAGGGAGCTAATTTCTGGAAGGTACATTCAATCCTGTGCCTCCATTAGTCAGAGTTTCTTTTTATTGATGGCACATGCCATAGTCTTGTCTTTTCAACAGAGTAGTGATTCTCCTTGGGTGAGCAAATTTGAATTTCCAAGAATGTGGAAAAGCAACCAAAATAAGTGTGATTTTGGATAAGTAAGCTTTATGCCCACATAGTAAGACCTTTTGATATCACTAAACAATTTTGTATATAATTTATTTAGAATGTTTAGAATACTTAAAGGGATATTAATCTCAGCATTTATAAGCCAATTTACTAGATTACAGAAGATACCACCGGTTTAGAAAGATTATATTAGCCAGAATCAGAAACTTGTCTTATTATGGTGCTGCATTTGGGAGAATAAGATTTACTACTAAAATGACATTTTAAAAAATTAGGACAATCATTCATAAAATAAAATCTGTACATAAAGATAGGCTGAAAAAAAATAAAGCTTAAGATAAAATAATAAAAATAAAACACACCATTTTGTAATTACAAATGGTGGTATAGTGATGTTTCAGGTGGCTAAGGCCACGAGAAAGCACATTTCTAGAAGAGTCTTTATGGCATGAAGAAGTGTACATGTGATAACTTTCTTATTCAAATTTCGTAGTTATGATAGAAACTCTACTTCCCAGAAGTGCATTAAAGATCAAATATATTCTCACTGACTTCACCATGTCCCCATTTAAAGCCTTACTCAATACCATATATAGGTTCAGTTGTTTTCTAAGGATTCATCCTTGAGCAGGTTCATTTGAAGTTGAAAGAACTACACACTATATATGAAAAATGAAACCAATATTAGGAAACACATTTCAAACTCTACTCAAATGCAACTTATATAATATATTGCTCTTTAGGTAATTGTTTAGAATGAACATTTGGTGCTTATCTGTTGGTTATTATTTTTGTGATTAGATACAAATGGGCAATGGAAGATTTTATATTAATCACTTTCCTTGATTTGCAATAAAGAAATGCAAGAATAAAAACTGGAAATAATTTTTAAGGTCTTCAACATTAAGAGTATTTTAAATCATGTTTTTTCTTTTGATAATTTCTGAAATTAATTGCTAAGAAGCATTTCATTCAGTTAAAATAATAGGCTTTTTCATACACTCAATATTTATGACTTTCAAATGAGTGCTTTCCTAGTTTTTATCTTTACTTCATTTTAAGTTGCATTGTATTAGCAATTTAAAAGTCAGGGTTATTGTTAATCCTATTTTAAAAATAAATTTAGACATCATGAGAGAGAGTCAATTGAGTTAAATAAAACTTGTAATTGCTTTAGAAGATATACACCTAACCTTAGAAACAAATACACAAAATAACTTTTATATGTCAAATAATCTGACCACGTAGAGTATATGATAAAGAAAATACCTTAAAATAACCAACAGTAAAAGGTGGCAAGAAGGTGGCAGATGATTAAAGAGGATTTAGAATGAGATGGAAAACACAGAAAATGTGTTTATTAAGAATGCTTTAATACTAAGGATTCAGTAGTCCTACAGTGAGACAAGAGGTTTTCCTATATATCCCATGTGTTATGACAATGTTTTTATACATCACACTCTCGGGCACAATCTCCTAAAACCAGCACAAAGTATTCATGTCTTCAGTCTTGTCCCTGGAACAGGGAAACTAAAATAAAGAAACTCCCTACTGCCATTAAAAACATTTAAAAAATCAAACTATATATCAACTGCTTCAAATCTCTTCCTGGGATAAAGCAAGGTGCATACCTATAAGTAAACAAACATAAAACAAATAAAAATTAATTTTGGTTACTATAACACCAGTAGCTAGTGGCTTTGACTTGAGCAACTCCTTGGAATAAAAATTTTAAATTTGTTTAACTGTCAGGTCAATGATATGCTACTACTATTTTTCCAGAATTAACTCTTAATACCACATAAAACCTTTGGATTAAAAAATCTGTGATAAAATTTTAAATAATTATTAAAACAACTTACTTTCTTCTTTCTTGCTAATAATGGCAGGCAGGGTGTAAATCTAAAAAACAAAGGAAGTCTAATCAGTTAATGACCCTGCACAGAAGCAGGGTTATGTCGGTACAATGATACACAAAGGGAGTATCTTGATTTCAAGGTCCTAAAATTGGTGCATCCATAGGGCCAAGTCCCTACCCTGTCAACCTACCTTGTTTCCCACTTCTTTCCATCATGGCTGTCTGTCTAGCCCTGAGCAAGGTTCTACCCTTTTCATCTGATTTATATATCTCATTCTAGTACCTGACATCATGCACAGAATGTATCCTTTCTTCAGGATCTCATGAATTTTACCAGATTACTCCTTCCTCAAATTATCTCCTTAGTGTCTTGTTCTCAGCATGTAGAGCCCTAACTAGTACCTGAGCTCTCACACCATCTTCTCAATCTGCTCTAGGTCAGGGCTTACCTCACAACTATTAATGGCAAAGAGTCAAATCATTTTGTTTTAATTTTCAACTTTTAATTGGCAGATATTTTTATAAGTTATAATAAAATAAAACATAATAAACATAAAGAATAGATGCAGAGTCCAAATTTTTTATTATTAAACTCAATAGAAAAAAATGACTTCTCCAAATTGCTTTAAAATTTTTCAAATGCTTAATCATAATTTCTGCACTCAGTTTATTGTGGACTGGTTAACAGTTTGAGGGATGGCCTCAAAGTCTAGGGACCACACTTTATATGTGTGTTGTTGCATTGGTACTTTGCACAAGGTTGTTTGCAGATTCTTTGCCAACAAAAGGATAGTTCTCAAGGGACAGAACAGGGCCTCCTATTTTTCTCTGTGTGCTCATACCTCCAACCATCCAATGCAGTGTTCTTCACAAAGAAAACAGACAATGATCAATGATTTATTCCCTTCTTTACATAAGCCTCCCTAATAATTTTAAGTAAATTATCATGCCCACATTGAAATAACTATTAAAACGGTGGAGATATGGATGGAAGGGAAAATGTCAAGCCACAAGGCAGTTTGACCAAATGAGACTTATTTTTTTAAAGATTTATTTATTTATTTTGGAGGGAGGGGCAGAGGGAAAGAAAAAAAAAAAAATCTCAAGCAGACTCCCTGCTGAGTGCAGAGGCAGATGCGGGGCTCAATCTCAAGACCCTGAGATAATGACCTGAGCCGAAATCAAGAGTCAGATGCTTAACTGACTGAGCCACCCAGGCGCCCAACCACATGAGACTTTTAAATAATGATATAGACCACAGGATTAGTTCTCTAGAACGTTTGCTCATCACACTGATCATGAAGCCTACCACAGGCCTTGCAAAGAGTGGGGATTCAATTATTAACTGAATAAAATAATCCAATCAGCACAGCCAAGTTAGTGATAAGTAATTTGTTAAAAAGTAATCTTAGGATTTCACTCATATGTGTAATGTAAGGAATAGCATGGAGGACAACAGGGTAAAGGAAGGGAAAACTGAAGGGGGGGAAATCAGAGAGGGAGAAAAACCATGAGAGACTATGGACTCCAGGAAACAATCTGAGGGTTTCAGAGGGAGGAGAGTAGTGGGATGGGGTAGCTGGGTGATGGGCATTAAGGAGGGTGCGTGATCTGATGAACCACTGAGTGTTATACACAACTAATGAATCATTGAACACTACATCAAAAACTAATGATGTACTGTATGGTGGCTAACTTAACATAATAAAAAAAAAAGTAATTTTAGGTTTAAATCTGGAAGTCCCCCTGTGAAACAAATTAGAAAGTTATACAGTGAGTGAGACAACACTAGAAAAACAGTAAGAGTCTCTACTCTGATTGCTACATTAGTATTTCCAAATATATTACAGACATAAAAAAATTTCAGATGTACTTTCTAATTAGAACAATAAAACCTAAATTATAGAATGTGTCAATATTCTTACCGGTTCTTTACCATCCATGGCTTCAAGCCAGAGTTTCCGATTAGCTTCTGAGAATGCCTGCAATGTGATGATTCCATGTCTGTTAAAAACAAATATTTTATATATTCAATTTATTCCTGTTATGTCTTTACACATTTATTATTTTTTGTGTTCTTAAAGGTAAAGGTAAAACTTGAAGAAAAAGCAGGAAAGAAAAAAAATGAAAAGAGAGAAAAAGGAAAAAGAAAAGAGAAGAAAAAAATAATTTAAAGAATGAAAAGAAAAAGACTGATTTATAGCTACCTTTCAGAAAAATCACTGGGGGGACACATACACATATACATACACACAAACAAATATTTTTTAATTCCAATGGTTGCAGGTAGTAACATCATTGGTTTAGGTGTAACTGCCTGAAGGAGGCTAGTTTCAAACTATTTCCTCTGAAATGACCAAAAAAGATGACAAAGTTACATTCACCAAAGTTCAGAACCACCTAAATGTTCTACAGTACGAGAACGATTACTATTATGACCCCAATGTGGTACAATCTAGTCACCAAAAATAATTACAAAGAATATATAGTAATATGAAAAGTTTCATACCATAATTAGTTACTAAAAAGACACTAAACCAAAGTGTTTATACCATGATCACAATATTAAAATTAATTCATTTAAAAACCATTCTTTCCCATGTACCCATTCTGAAATAGTTGAGGATGTACTTCAAGAGAGAAAGAGTGAGCAAAGGGAAGGAAGAAAGCAATGTAAGATAGAAAAAGACATGAAATTCAGAAATAGTTAAATTAACCTAGTTAACTGTACAGATTGTCCAGAAAATATATTTAAACAGGACATTAGAGGACTCTGTGAACAGGTACACTGAGGAGGAAATTTCAGTTAAATACTGTATGATTGAAAAGTGTTATGACTTAAAACTGTGATAAAGGCATATTATCTCTTGTGTAAACAGGAAAACAGATCACTGGAATGATAGGAAAAGGAAAAATGTATATGAAGATCAAGATCATTTGATCTTGGAGAATCCAAGCCAGCATCAACAAAAATAATAAGATGATAATTTTTTTTGGCTGTTTATGATGTGCCAGGCACTATGTTATAAATGTGTCTCATTTTTTAACCTAATTTAATCCTTATAGGAACCCTTTGAGGTGGGTACTTATTATCCTTATTTTACAGATGAGACAACCAAAGCACAATTTGACAGTGTGTCCCAGGGTTACAGAACTAAAAAGTGCTGAAATAAAGAAAAATCACTAGCATGTTGGCATCTGTCTAGATAGAAAATCCAGAAGTTCCTACCACAAAACTATTAAAATCAGTAAGGAGCTCAACAACTATGCTGGATATAGATTAATATATTAAAAAGATTAATAGCCTTTCAATACAGGAGTCTCAACCATTTGGAAAAAATATACTAATGAATTCTATTCAAAATTGCAATAAAATGAAAACACTCAAGAATAAATCTTAAAACAATATAAAATCTTCAAAGAGAGTTCAACTCTCCATCAATTAATTAATAATTTTAATGCTACTCCAGTCAAAAATCCCAAAGGATTTTTTTGGAAAGAAGGGGAAATGTAGTAAGTGGATCCATAAAATCTAAGAACACGGTGCCAAAATATTTAACACAATTTTAAAGAAGCATAAAAAACAGGGGCCTTGCCCTACTAAATAGTTACAAGCTACATATAGGTAAACTATAGTATATAAGAGTATATACAGTACACATTTTATATAGTGCACACACACAAAGCTAGACTATTCAGAAAAGTATGGTAGTAATTCAGGGGAAGAAAAATAGATCATGGCATAGAAGAGAGATCAAGAAGTATACCCATTCTTATTTAGTTTCCGTTCTTATATTGATACAAGAAAAAAAAAGGATAGCTAAAAATCCCCACTAGGTTATAAACTCGCATGCACAATATTTATGTCTCTCCCAATATTCTGTGGCTAAGAAATGTCCAGAATGGTGCTCTGCACAGAGCAGGCACTGAATTTCACTGGCTGAAGGAAACTTATGGCATTTCCAGCTGTGTCTTATTACTCCTTGGAAGCAAAGGCCACCAGGCTTCAAAAGTCCACAAAAAAGCTTATCCAGGAGTGGTAAACAATATTGTCAGAATCATTCATAGTGATGGGAACTCAAATCCACCACACATCCCCTAATGTAGTCATTTATGTTGATTCCCCGAATTCTTCTTTGAGTGATGTTGCTTTTCGCTAGCATCCTTTCTCTGATTTATTTCTTGAAAGCATCGTGCAATATATATTTGTTGAATAAATACATAAAAGAATGAAACAAACATGCACACTGTTTTTAAAGACTGAAAAACAAGTACTTGTATGCTGTTTCATATTTATATCTAAACATAGAAACAAATAATTTAGCTTATTAAAAAATATGAAGTGAAAAGAAAACCTCAAACCTTTCAACTACTTCTATGTCAAAGCAGAATCGTTTGTCAATTGAATCTGTCTTTCGTCGGATACAAGATTTCAATTTAAACATTTCTGGTGAACCGGTAACAAGGCCATTCTGAAACAAGAAGGAGAACACATTGTTGACATGACAACAAGGGCAACTGGAAAATATTAAATATGCCAACTAAGGTTGCTGCACTTAAATGTCAAGTACAGGTTACGTATGAAGGTCATAATCACATCTTGTCCTCTGACTACAGACTTTTTGCCTAATGTTAACTGCTCAATTATAATGCAATTCATAAATTAATCACATACACATTTTAATTAAAGAATTCTGTAGCATGCCTATCTAGTAGTCTTAAACATATTTACTTATGTTAAATTGCACTAAAATGTACATTCTTTAGGACTTCAGATTTAGAAAAAGTGTGAAATCATAGTTACCATAATGTCACAATTAGATATACAGAGCTTGTCAGGATACAACACTGTTGCTTTGGCATCAAAATGCCCTAGGTTGCTAAGAGATTAGTATTGTTCATTTGTGTGTGTGTGTGTGTATGTGTGAGTGCATGAGAGCAAGTATGTATACACATGTGCATGTGTGTTTGTGCATTAGGGCCTTATAGCATTAAATGGTAATTGGCTCAAAGTCTCAGGAGAGCTACCAAAATAATACATTTCTAGTATTTACTTGTTATAAATGTATTGCTATCATACACACCGCATGACTGCTTTGCTGGTAACCAATTGCTACTCTGCGAGTCAACTGTATCTCTTTGGAGAGGATCCAACATAAGCTCGAGTCATAAGAATTCTCTTCTATACCTGAGATACCAGTCACCTTAAGGGGAATATTTACCCAATGTCTGGTTAATTCTACTATCTTTGGTTACTAAGATCATAGATTTATTAACAGAACTTTGGCTTGGGTCTATTTGCTAATAGCTCACTGACCATCAAAAGCTGACTTTTAGGCAACATCTTTTATTATGAAACCTTTGTAGTACACACTAGGCATGATTATAGGACTTAATTTCTCATGATGGTAGGAACTGAAGGTTTCTTTTGCTCGGGTATGTTCTCCTTTATATTATGTCTCTCCATTTGAATTACTAGACTCTATCGAATGCCCAAGCACAATAAGTTTCAGCTGATGTATTTGAGTATATATCTAAGTTAGATCAGCATTTACCTCTGCTCTGATCTATACCAAAAATTACCTGGGTGAGTCACTTACTTTCTACCACCTTGATTTTCTAATCTGTTAAAATAAGGCTGGACTAAATAATCTTTAGGATAACTCTCAGTTCTAGGATTCTTAGATGATGGCCCCAATTACCTGATCCTTAAGTTCAGTCACTTGCCATATTCATATCATAATTCACAAAAAGATTATACACTATATACAATAAAGGTGTTGTACTCTGTAGCATTTCCTTATACAACATACACTTTGTTCTATACTGTTCACTAGCCATGCAAGACATCCAGTGACCAATTTACTTTTGGAGTAAATGGGTATCAACTGATTTCTTCTGAATGCTGGCCAGTATTTCAGTAAACAGTACACAGTGTAGAAGAGGAAGTGGCATGCAGAGGCAAAAGGCAACCTCCCACAGAGGTGACCTGGAGGAAAGATGCAGAGTCCTTGAGCCTGGTCCAGCCACCAGGAGTCTCTACTAAGGTGCCAGCCAACTAACAGCATAAACAACTCTGTGCCAGGGATGTGAGAGGACACATCTAACAGCTAACATTTAACTTAACTGTTTATAAACATTCCATGGTAAGGTAAAGGAAAATCCTGGCTGCTCTTTTTAAGTCATCAAGATCACTGAAGTTAGAGAAACTTTTTTGACTTTTCAATTTTTAAAAACTGTTTACATGAGAGACTATGGACTCTGAGAATCAAACTGAGGATTTTAGAGGGAAGGGGGGTGGGGGGATGGGTTAGCCTGGTGATGGGTATTAAAGAGGGCACGTATTGAATGGAGCACTGGATGTTATATGCAAACAATGACTCATGGAACACTATATCAAAAACTAATGATGTAATGTATGGTGACTAACATAACATAATAAAATAAAATTAAAAAAAAAGAAAAGCAAGAAAATACGATTTTATTTTATTTATTTATTTATTTATTTTACTTCCATTACTTATCTAACAAGTTCAGATTCTAAAAAAAGAAGAAGAAAACTCACCATTTTCCCACTGGATTTCATTTCTGAAACACTCATTGTAAATGTTTTACTTCCCTTATCATATGTACAATAATGTTTAATCCATGTAAAACCAAGTGGTCCTGATGTAAGGAAACAAACATTACAGATTGTTAATAAATGATTTGGAACTATGTTTGTACAGTTTTTGATGCTATGATACACAAGTGAATGTCTCCACAGGCCACGCTAGTTTAGAATATTTACTGTGAGAAAGGCCAGTGTAAAGGGAGAGTTGTATGGGGTACCATGTCTGGGAATCAAGCAACTTGACTCTACTTGCCTGTAGCACCAGCACTCCCCTGTAACTCAGGAGTCACTCTAGATATGAATTTCAGTTATCTCCTCAGTAAAAGTGGCATACCTTACATTCCCAAGAGGTAGCAAGAACGAGAAACAGCCTATAACTGATCTCCTTACCTCTATCCTTTGTCCTTTATTCTCAAAACTGTCAGAAATACTCTACTAAAAATTTAACCAGTTCATTTCATCCTCTTTGTTCAAAACCTCCAGTGGTTTCCCACTTCACTCCAGGTAAAAACCAAAGAGCCCATTACTATACACAATGCCCACATGCTCTGGCCCCTCATTACTGATCTCACCTCACATCTTACTACCTTCTGCCTCATCCACATTGTTCTAGTTACACTACCCCCCTTGCTGATCCTTGAACCCAGGGAACGCACTTCTGCCCCAGGGCATTTGTACATCCTGTTCCCCTAGCCAGGACTATTTTTCCTTCAGATATCTGCATGGCTTGCTTTGTCACTTCTCCAGGTCTTTTCCTAAATGACACCTTTACGATATGGCCTTTCCTACAGAGGTATCTAACATCTCAGCACCCTCACCTTGATATTTCCTCTTTCTTTCTTTATTTTCTTCTTAGCATTTACCACTGTCTAAAATAGGATAAATTTTATGAATTCTATTTATTGTCTGTTTCTGCCACTAGACTCTAAGGCTCTATGAGAGCAGGAACATGTGATGCTCTGCTCACTAATATATTCTTAATCCTTAAAACAGGGCCAGACATTAGCTGTCGGTCAATCAATTCTTGACAAATGAATGAAGAAATGAATCATTCATCTTTCTAGACTTCACTGACCTTGGAGTTATTTCCTCTTACCACTAGTCTGAAAATAAGTGAACTCAAATAACTCCTTAAAGTGAAAGTAACTTTTACTTCCCATTTTAAAATAAAGCTATATATGTATAGTGCTCATTTCCCCCTATAAATACTGTGCAACTCTTTCCCATAGCATACCACATAGTTTTCCTATATTCTCCTTAAGGAATTAGATGCTGCTGCTTCACCAGGGAATAGGGATGCATAGTAAGTTCAATTTTTCCATGACCAAGGTAAACCCTTAGTCTTCCCACAGGGAAGCCAATTATCCTGCATCTATATGCCACTGTGGGCTGAGTGGGTTGAAAATGGAGTTTGTGGGGTGCCTGGGTGGCTCAGTCATTAAGCGTCTGCCTTCGGCTCAGGTCATGATCCCAGGGTCCTGGGATCGAGCCCCGCATCGGGCTCTCTGCTCGGCGGGAAGCCTGCTTCTCCCTCTCCCACTCCTCCTTCTTGTGTTCCCTCTCTAGTTGTGTCTCTCTGTCAGATAAATAAATAAAATCTTAAAAAAAAAAAAAAAGAAAATGGAGTTTGTTTTCTACACAACTTCTCCATCTAGGGTCCCATCCTGCTTAACACCTGCATCCTTCTAGCAACAATTATGTACAATAGTATTGCTGGCTTGGTTTCATAACCATATATTTAAAAAGCAAGAGACTGTAATGTAAAAATGTACTACTTGAGAAAAGTGTTTCATGAGGCATTTGAATTTTTTTTCTCTAATATCAGTGCCCTTGGTGTCATATTTAGCTTTAAAATACTTAATCCCAGATCTCAAAATTATAGGGTACAGCTATAACTTTGTAATCACAAAGGATTATTATAATAAACTTCAATTCTGTTTTAGGGCCATTTGATACTATAATACTTAAGCATACTTGTTGATTAATTCTGTTACATGCAGTATAAAACACTTAAAAGGCTTAGAGCTGATGAGTGGAAAGTGGTTGGATGAAAATCCTTATAGTGACTTCATTACTTAGGAAGAAATTTATAAAGGAATATTAGCAATAATTTTTATTTTTTTATTTAAATTCAATTAGCACTGGGTGTTATATGCAACTAATGAATCACTGAACATTGTATCAAAAACTAATGATGTACTACTATATGTTGGCTAATTGAACTTAAGCAAAAATTTTTAAATAAAGCTGCTGCAATGCTCTGATGACATTTTAGATCTAAGTTGTTTTTTTCTTGCCTCCATCTTAAATTCAGAACCTCACACATTTAATCTTCAGGTTTGTGGTACACACATGCCACTTCCTTTAAAGTTGCTTGACACGAGGCCAGGGCAGATGTTCCTAGACAAGAAATTCTGAGGTCCTTACAAAAAAGCGTGGGAAAATAACAATTTATTTTATCTCTAAAGCTGCAAAATAAAAGAAGTTTAGGGGCTCCTGGGTGGTGTAGTCGGTTAAGCGTGGGACTCCTGGACAGCTCGTAGTGATCTCAGGGTCCTGGGACCAAGCCCCACATCAGGTTCCATGCTCCACATGGAATCTGCTTGAGATTCTCTCTCTCCTCTTCCTCAGCCCCTTCCCCTCCCCCAGCATGCTCTCCCTCTCTCTAAAATAAACAAATCTTTAAAAATAAAGTAAGTTTAATTATCTTACCCAGTAATCACCGGAGGTTGCTGAGATGATATTTGTGGAATGGGAGGAAATAACATTCACTAAATACCTACTAAGTGTCCACATTTTATCTAGAAACTTTTTAAGTCAGACATTATATGAGATTCATGTGCCACTTACTGCACTGAGAAGGCAGGTTAAGTCAGACATTATAAAGAGCATTTTACATAAAAGAAAACATATCCTAAGAGCTGGAGATGGTACTACTTTCTCCATCAATAGGCATGTGATTGGAGTTGTTCTTTTTAGAGGAATAATACTTCTCAACAGTTGTTTTAAGACTCTAATGAGATAAATATAAATTGCATGGAACAGTAAATGTTCGTGGTAAATATTATTCACCACTACTGACAATAGAGACATTTTACATATATCACCTCTATTCTTGCAACATCATGACTAGACAGGTATGAATACCTTTCTTTTATAAATGAGGATACTGACCTCAGAGAACTGTTTGTCCAGAATTACCCAGTAACAGGTTGCAGACATGGAATTCCAACTCTTCCATGCTCTTCCTGTTTAAAATGAAGTCTATTATAACTACCCTATGATCCAGCAACTGCACTACTAGGTATTTACCCAAAGATAAAAGAATACAGATTCAAAGGGGTACATGAACCCTGATGTTTACAGCAGCATTATGAACAATAGCCAAACTATGGAAACAGCCAAAGTGTCCATCAATTGATGAATGGATAAAGAAGATTATATATATATATATGGAATACTACTCAGCCATCAAAAAATAAAATCTTGCCATTTGCTGAGATGTGGCTAGAGCTAGAGTGCATTATGCTAAGTGAAATAAGCCAGTCAGAGAAAAACAAATACCCTATGATCTCACTCATATGTGGAATTTAAGAAAGAAAACAGATGGACATATGGGAAGGAGGGGGAGGAGAAAGGGAAACAAACCATAAGAGACTCTTAGGATAGAGAACTGAGGGTTGACAGAGGTAGGTGGGTAGAGGAGGGGCTAGATGGGCAATGGGTATTAAGGAGGGCCCTTGTCATGATGAGCACTGGGTGTTGTATGTTAATGATGAATCACTGAATTCTACTCCTGAAACCAATATCGCACTATATGTTAACTAAAATTTAAATAATAAATAAATAAATAAAATGAAATCTATTAGAATGCAACTTATTTTTTTTTAAGATTTTATTTATTTATTTGACAGAGAGAGACACAGCAAGAGAGGGAACACAGGCAGGGGGACTGGTAGAGGCAGAAGCAGGCTTCCCGCAGAGCAGGGAGCCCGATGTGGGGCTCAATCCCAGGATCCTGGGCTCGTGACCTGAGCTGAAGGCAGAAGCTTAACGAATGAACCACCCAGTCTCCCCTAGAATACAATTTAATGTATGCCTAGAAGTGGGTAACACAAAAACCACATATCCAGATAAAGTGGAGCTCTGTGTCCAAACTGCAATGATCTGCTATTACCCCATCACATCCATCTCCATTTATCAATTTATAGTTCTGCTTTTACTATTGATCGCTGGTTACTAATTGCACGAGTATATTTTATGCCTTCCACTACAGAATAAAGACCCTGGAGCCAAATTCTTTATCTCATCTTCTATTCCCCATAGAACTTATTAATGCAGTGATAGCAACAGTTAATCAATATGTTTTAGTGAGCTGGTATGATTTTCTTATACTTTCAAAGACCAAGGGGAAAGGGGCTTCAGATATATGTCCCTCATATAAAGATAATTCCAAAGGGATATAAATCCATTCATTTTTCTTTTTAAATCTCTAGGCAATGGGAAGTGGGGAGATGATGAATAAGAAAAGAAGAGAAGGATTATACTAGGGCATAAGAGCACTTTTGAAGGTGATGAATGTGTTCATAGTGGTGATGGTTTCATAGGTCATATATATATGGCAAAACTTAACAAATTATAATTTTAAATATTTACAATTCATTGTATGCCAACTGTACCTCACTAAAGCTGTAAAAACAATGCAGGTGGATATAGAGAAAATTGAGATGAAATTATCTTAGGAGTAGGAGGGCAACATCAAAGGAGAAGATGTTAAAGAGAGAGTCCCAACTGTTCAAGTCTCAAAGGCCACACATCACTAAGGGGGCCATCACAGGAGGGGCACAACAAGCCAGCATGGTGGAGGGATGTGTCAGAAGCTCTGCAGAGGATGGATTACAGACAGGCAAGCCTACAGGCAGAAAGAAAGCAATTATGAGGCCAAGGAAAGACTGTGGAGATGCGAGAAGGTGTGGGTTCAAAGGTTATCAAGGAGATAAAATGGAGAGAGTTGGCCCCAGGTTACAGGGAGACACTGGAGTTAAGGAGTAAAGGATTTACCTCCAGTCTTTAGCCTAGGAAGGCAGGTGGTATCACTTAGAAGGATAGCAAATTTCAAAGAAAAGGTCAGTGTCACACAAGGCTTTATAATCAGCTCAGACTGACCCAGAGAAGTCATGTATCTTAAAACACAAGATACCAACATCAGATAGGTGCATAAAATACTGCGTTTTGTGCACCCATGCAGTACCCAAATTATTAAAGGGCCTGTGCTTATATTCTGACCCAAATGTCCAACAGCTGTAGAATGAGTAAGTAAACTACAGCACTATCCAATGGATGGACTCCCAAGTACCAAATAAACATGATATACTTGAAGATTAATGTACAAAAGAATTTTCTAGGCAATCCAAAGCTTTTTTCTTTAGAACAAAATATTGTGTACCCACAAGGACTTCAGCAACTATGTAACACTGGGGGATTAAAAAAAAATCAAGAAATAAAATTACTGAGTCTTAATGAATTAAAAAAAATCTTTAAGCAAGAGGATGGCACCTCCTCTACCACAAGCATGTTTGAACAAGCCTCTTTTTCTTTATTTTTTTTAAAGATTTTATTTATTTGACAGAGAGAGACACAGGGAGAGAGGGAACACAAGCAGGGGGAGTGGGAGAGGGAGAAGCAGGCTTCCTGCCGAGCAGGGAGCCCGACGCGGGGCTCGATCCCAGGATCCTGGGACCATGACCTGAGCCAAAGGCAGACACCTAACGACTGAGCCACCCAGGTGCCCCTGAACAAGCCTCTTAATCAACACATTTTTCTGCTCAGCAAAATATTTTATTGATCAAAATGTAAGCTCCTCTCAATGTATCCTTACACTGAGGTTTTCAAGTCTGAAAGAGTTACTCAAAACAAGTATTTAAAAATTTTCTAAGTGTCCTGAGTTAAATCTATATACCCTGTTTGTGACCAATGAATTAGGGTTGTTTTTTTTTTTTCATGAAATTGTGGTGAAAGTGATTTATTATGGTCTAATTACAGAATAGCTAGGCAGGTCATTAGATTTATTTTAACATCCAAAACCAGCAGACTGGTCAAAGTCAATAATGATGAGAGAGAAAAATCCTGAAACCCAGATCTCCTGAGCCAGCAGCCCTCTATCATCTAATCCATACAGTAATAAATATTTGCTGAGTCTGTTGGATCAAATCATTATTTGCTTGTACACTATCCAACAAATGAGCATCACCTGAGCATGTCAAAACATAAAATGTGCTGGCATTTTAGTAATCATATTGCATTAATGTCAAAAACTTTCACAGCCAAACCAGTATCTCTAGCTTTCCCATCTCAACCCTTTAAACTATAACATCTTACTAACTAACCAAAACAACTTCATTAATCTATCATCTACAGATATGGAGACCTCAGAGCAGTGCTACTGTATGTGTTTTTTGAGTCCCAATATATGAGAATAGTACAGAAAGTAAAAATAAGCATTTCAAAACTTTTACAATGTTTTGGCATTACTGCAAAATCCAAGCATATGATTTTGAGTTTTACAAAGACACAGATCCATAATGGATTGGAAATAAAAACAACTATTCCTTTACCAAAACAGGATGAGACTGTGCATTAGAGCATATCTGGTTTGAAATAGTTAATTTAGTCAGACTGGTTCCACTCAATGCAAGTACCATGCAGAAAGAATCCTATTTATACAAGTTTGAATGGCTTTTTATTAATTTTTGTGAGAAAACTTTCTTAGCGTGAGCAATTATAATAGTGCCCTATCACTTCTGATGCTTATTTCCTAACCTCAGGAAGTAAAAAGTGCCAATTTGACATTACATAGTTGCCAGTTTTATTCCTGAAAATGGGATGAAGCACAGAATTTAATGAAATAATGCTGCAGGAAGAGAAAGTATTATCATAGTCACCAGGATGATTCATACTGATAAAGGCTTTGAATTTCAATTTTCCATGAAAGTTCAAATTGAGATTAGCTATTACAATGAAATTCTAAAACTGAACTCATGTTACCGTATCATCAGTGAAGGTTGTAAGTTCCAAGTTCAATAATATGCCAACTTGGAGATCCTGATGGCGAAATGTGGAAAAGCTTCCTCACTTTGATGGAGGTAGTGGGAGAGCAGACTAAATATGATAAAGCTGTAAGGAATTGCAGTCTTCCTATTTGAAGGAAAAAACACTAACCAAGTCAAATGTTAATCATAAGACTCATTAAGTTATGTCTTTGTGACTCACGTTTCTCCTGGACATAAAGGTAGCCTTCCATTGTCCACTGGCTGGGTGGTCTGTAATCTTGGTTGGCAGATTTCATTCTTTGCATCAACCGCTCTACCTCTTGTCGAGTACTTTCAAAATTATTCCTTGTCTTAAGTAAATAGAAACAACAATTTCATTCATTGTTTCCTACCAGTTTTGAGGAACTTCCAGTCTAAAGTTTCAAAACGGCAAGTGGTGCAAAAGGATAACCTTGATTCTCTCAGCACTACTCACTACATCCGGGATCTTACACATTGAGTCCTATGGTCTGATTTTGAATTGCTTTAGTGAAACATGAACGTGCACAGTGAAACACCACCTTCTGTGGTATGCGTATGTGTATACTTTATTCCTATTTCCTACTCTAACATTATTACTTAGGGGACAAATCATAACATTTATAAACATAATATTTATGAAATAGAGTTTTATATTCACTAATACCTAACGTAAAAAAGCAGATATATAGGGACTTATATTTCTTTCTTTTTTTTCTCTGTGAATTGTTTTTTTTTTTATTTTTTAATTTTATTATGTTATCTTAATCACCATACATTACATCATTAGTTTTTGATGTAGTGTTCCGTGATTCATTGTTTGCGTATTTCTTTTGGGGGGTAAAGACAAAATAAATTCACATACTTTTATGTGGCACTTAGCAAAAAAAAAAAGTTCAACACCCATATTCTTAAAACCTTTTAGAAGAAATATCATTTAGTTTGGTTTCCAGAAATAGTTATCATGAGTTTAGTGTATAAATTAACTCATAAAAATGAATGGGTTTGCTAGTTCTAACTTCTATTACAAAAAATAGTTTACTCACATTACAGCAAGTTTACTTAAGGTAAGATATAGAAAGCATAAGGCTTTTCTCGATCTCTTTTGCATTCCAGCCACATTATTTCAACAATTTGTTTGAAAGCAAGCAATACGTTTGGAAACAAAAATCACCACCACCCAACTCTAAAATTTGTTATGGCCCATAATAAAAGAACTGAATCCCGAAGTAAGTTAGGAAAATTTTCCTAATTGCCACTTTTGCTACTTCTTAAGCTTTTTTTTCCCCCAATTCTTTTAAACATAAGGATCATAAATTTTCCAATTCCTTACATTCCTCTCTTGTTCTCGAACTTCAGGAATCTTAATATAATTATAATTCATATGGAAATAAATCATAAAAATATTTTGGCCTTTATAATTTTCCCTTTTAATATTTACTAAAAAGGTCCAAATGCATTCCATATTGAAAAACAATTGAATGACTTACATGTGAAACCAATTCTGCTAGAAAATCTAGATTAAATAAAAAGCTAAAACCCAAAACACAAGTAGAATAAATCCAATTGCCTATTTCTTATGGGACACTCCAACCCCCTAGTTCCATTTACTGAACATCTCCACAATGGCAAGAATCAGAGAAGCAGTGAAAGACAAGCTTTTTATAGAAAATTAAGTGAAGGCTTTCCAGTTAATTTACTTTGGCCGTTGAGCACTAGATTATTTTGGCCATTGAGCACTGGTTATTCAAAAATAACTTCATTTATACAAAATTCTCAACAAATAGAACTTTCTTATTTGTCAGGTTTGATAATGCAGGAATGGATTGGGTAAGTTGTGTGTTTGTGTGTGTGTGTGTGTGTATAATGTAAGTGATGCTTAGCATCTGCAAATCTGAATTTGTATAACTATGAAATCAGATACAAAAAGGATTAGATAACTTTACAAAATAAACCCTAACAGAAACAGATAGGATGTTTACAAATAATTCTCAATTAAGCTTTAAAGCAGTTACTATGAATGCTTAAAAACCACATTTAAATTATTAGAAAATAAAAAATATCATATATATTATATACAATTTCAGAGAGGAAAAGGACATTCCTTCAGTGCTCAAATACAACCTTTTCATTCCTTCAGTGCTCAAATACAACCTTTTCATTTCACAAATATAGAAATGTTACCCTTTCAGAAAATAAGACTTGCCTAAGGTAACCCAGCAAAATAATGAGAACATTGGATAAAGGCAAAAGTTCCCAACCTTCGAAGTATCTATTATCTATACCTCTGTAATATTTATTTTTATAAAACTTGCTAGCATAAGTTTTTCTAACATATGATTAGCTCCTTCTTGGTATACTTTCAACCAGCATAGAAAAAAGTGTTTTAATAAATTTTTTAAATGACTTTTCTAAATTAGATAAATTTTTAAAACACTCCAAGGTTTCGCTTGGTTATAGTTTCTCTGTCACCATCTGATTCACTAAGGAGAAGCAGTGAGAATAGGTATAGTCTTACGTTCTGCAAGTTGAACTGAAGCTGTTGCTTATATGGTGCAAATTCCTGGGCGAGTTCGTATCCCTCATGGTAAAAAGTAAATAAACCCTGAAGGAATGACAAAAGCTGCAAAAATAGAGAAATGAAAGAAACCATGAAAATGTGTTTTAAAAAAGAATGATCATCAAACATAATAAAGTGGGAAATTATATCTCATTCTAAATCCTCAAGCTAATAAATTTTCAACCCCTTTGTTTGGCAAAGCAGACACTTGAGTTATGAATGTGAAATAAACCACAAAAGCTAATTTTTACTTCCTTAGGGACAGTTGTTAATATTAACTATTCTGCTATTCAAATGCATTGAAGAAATAATACCCAGGAGAGACCATTAATAGGGATAAAGACCCAAAGTGACATGGGTGCTACACCAGAAGAGATTCTAATCCAAACAGAGAGATAAAACATGTGTAGATGTGAGGAAGACTAAACCAGTAAATTAGAGATAAGGAGTACCCAAGGGAAGGAGTAAGAATTTGGCCAGATAAAATTAAGAAAAGTATCACAAGGTGGCAGTACTGATTCAGGTATTAAATAGACAACCTTTTAGCAAATAGTGGGAAGAACTAAGAACAGGAAAGAGCTGAGCAAAAACTTGGAACTGGATACAGATTTTTCACATAAAGAGTTGGAATAAAATTCTCTTTAGGAAACCACAATGTCTATTAGCCTTCTAATCCCAAACTCATATGTGCATATTTATTATGGTCTTATTCATAAAGCAAGAATGGATCTCCATGAACTTACAGGACACAGTTGTTTATATAAATTATAACTGAAAAATAATTATTTTTTTCATTTAATTCATTGGCATTTTTATTACAAACTTGTGTACCAATTTGATCTCTTCCTACAATAAAGTTAGAAAATACTTTCCAGAAATGGCTATTTTTTTTTTAATTCAAATAGTGTATTATGTCTGTAAGCTACTATTTTAAACTAAGGAAGAAACACAATTTGAAATTTTTATAAGTGAATAAATCTCCCAAAATTTTCTCTGTCTGGGAAAATAGGTGGATTCAGCTAAGCACCAAATGGTATGTGTGTTATGATTTCCAACAGATAAATACTGGTTCTATCTGAAGACAACGACCTAATGCTTTTCCTCTATAGTGAGTCAACTTCTTACAAAGTTATGTTCATGTCAGAAAACACATACTTTCAAGTTGGTTTTAAATTGTTACATTTTAAAGACTTTCCTTCTCTTATTCAACAATTCCTGGTATGTCAAAATACATTGTTTTCCAAATTTAGAATTATTTTACACTGTCAATTTTACATCCACTGATAATTATTATTATCAAAACTACTCAATAGATTATCCTTTACTAAAATGATGCTACAATATATCTATTGAATTATCCAGTAATTTAAGATACATAGTCTGCACATATTGTGGTCTCATTAAAAAGAACTATACCTTTTAATTAATTGAGATTTGGATATACAGATTTAGAAGTTTTCAGAAACAAATAAGAAAATACTTCTGAAATATACAGACAACACTAGTCTTTGAAATATCCAAATAATAGTTTATGAAGTTGTTTGAAGGATTATTTCAGTTTTAATGTCTATAACTGATCCTCAGTTAAACTGTCTTGTTATTAACTAGATATCATAAAAGGAAGATGCTCAGTATACAGGATTTAATTAAACTTATAAAGAAGAGCTTTAAGAATATCTGTAGTAAGTCTTCCTGTAAAACATCAAATTCCCCAAGATCTGCCTAAATAAATAAATCTACTGGCATCTTATAACAGAATTCAGATTCACTCAGTAGCAGACAATGCATGCTGAGCACCTACTAGGGAAAGAACAATTTTGAGAGAAGTACAGAGAAATTACCTACAAAGAACAACCCACCTTTTCCTTCGTTCTACATCCAGTTTGGAAGCAACTTTTGTGAAAGTTTAAAAAAAAGACGGCATGTATGAAATAACTGCCTCTAGATGGCAGTAAAGTAAAACTTTTTTAGGTTTGAAGCTCTGCTAGTTCATTTTATCCTCAACAAATTCCAGGATGTTAAATTAAGGTAACTTAATAGGACAGCCTGAAAATCTTTAAGAATTGCATTTCCTACATGTCATTTTCTTTGTTCAATCTGCCTGAGTGAGTGGAGCAGTGTGGAAAGACTACTGTCTCAGCTTACCTTAAGGTAAACCTGACCTTTTAAAATAATAGTAACAACTACTAAAAACTACTGAAAAGACAAATTGGGCTTTAATATTAAATCACTTTGGGGGTGCCTGCGTGGCTCAGTCGGTTAAGCGTCTGCCTTCAGCTCAGATCATGATCCTGGGGTCCTGGGATGGAGTCCTGCATCAGGCTCCCTGCTCCATGGGGAGTGTGCTTCTCCCTCTTCCCCCTCCTCCAGGCAGTGTGCTCACGCTAGTGCTCTCTCTCAAATAAATAAATAAGGACCCCAGGATCATGACAGATGCTTAACCAACCGAGCCACCCAGGCAACCCAAAAATATTAAATCTTTTTTATCATCACTAAAAGCTGATATAGCACTTTATTATTCCCAAGGGTTTTAGAATCAAATTACTATTTGTCACTCCAATAATCCGACCAAATATAAACATTGATACTACACTTATAGATAATCATTTAGCAAAATCAACTACAAGACAGCAAAGGAAAAAAACATTCATAATTCCCCAGCCCATTCATTAATCACCAAGTTTCAAGTCTTAGAGCCCCACAGTTACCAGTGATACTGTGAATGGCAGAAAAAAGTAAGAAAAGGAGCTGGGGGCTAGCATGAGAGTGAGGGGAAGAACTCTGAAGCAACTGATGCAGTAATTCTAGGACTGTTGCTCAAAATGAGCAGAAGAACTGGGATATAAAGGCTCTTATAATGGTATGATTCATTCCTGTCTCCTAAGAAATTAAGCACTGAAAATCTTAGGGAATCCACTACCAAAACTATTAGAACTGATAAACAAGTTCAGCAATGCTGCAGGATACAAAATCAAGACACAAAAGTCAACTTTATTTCTATATACTTGGAATGAACAATCTGAAAATGAAATTAATTCCATTTATAATAGTTTCAAAAGAATGAAATACTGAGGAATAATTTTTAAGTACAAAATTTATAACTTGAAAAGTACAAAACACTGCTTAAGGAATTGAACAAAGTTTAAATAAAAGGAAAATACTTCATGTTCTTGAATTAGAAGACCTAACACTGTTAAGATGGCAATACTGTCCAAAATGATGTGCAGATTCAATGCGATCCCTGTGAGAAGCCCAGCTGACTTCTTTATGATAACTGACATGCTGATGCTAAAATTCATATGGAATTGCAAGGGACCCAGACAACCAAAACAATCTTGAAAAAGGAGAACTAAGTATTTAGACTCACACTTTTCCATTTCAGTACTCAATACAAAGCAGTGGTAATCAACACAACGTGATACTGCACCAAGTAGAGACATTAAATCAATGTCTAAGAACTGAGAATCTAGAAATAAGCCCACATACCTATGGCCAACTTACTTTCAACAAGGGCACCCAGACCATACAATGGGTAAAGAATAGTCTTTTCAACAAGTGATTCTTGGACCACTGGATAACCACATGCAAAAGAATAAAGTTGTAACCCTACTTCACACCATAGACAAAATTAACTAAAGATAAGTGAATTGTATGGTTATGTTGAATTACACCCCAATAAGACTGCTCGGGGGAGACGAACCATGAGAGACGATGGACTCTGAGAAACAAACTGAGGGTTTTAGAGGGG